GCTCATTCCAATCTATTATTGGGGGGTCCCGTTGCCTTGCTCGCTCTCTCTCTCTCTCTCTCTCTCTCTCTCTCTCCGAATCTAATGCTGATATAAATGGAGATCATTAAAATCTATTATGGGGCAGAAATCCAAAATATCAAGTGTTTTCTTTTTTGCTTTCTTTTATAGGTTACCAATGAAAAGAGGGAGCCAGTGACTGGTGTCTTTGAACGTGTCTCCTATACTGATTACACTGTGTAGATTCAAGAACCATGGCTGAACTTGGTGACAGCCATAAGCTTATAAGCATGGAGGCAAATAAACTCAGACATTCACAGAGTTACGAAGACACAACCTCAGTGGGGCTTAAAAGAATGCAAAAGCGGTTTCTCCAGAAAGATGGGAGCTGCAACGTTTACTTCAAGCACATATTTGGAGAGTGGGAGAGCTACGTGACTGACATTTTCACCACACTGGTGGACATCCAATGGCGCCATATGTTTGTGATCTTCTCGTTGTCCTACATCCTTTCCTGGTTGTTCTTTGGCTTGGTTTTTTGGTTGATTGCCCTCCACCATGGCGATTTATCCCCCGACAAAGAGATAACTCCTTGTGTCGATAAAGTCCATAGTTTCACTGGGGCATTTTTGTTTTCTCTTGAAACTCAAACCACCATTGGCTATGGATCGCGTTGTGTCACAGAAGAGTGTTCTGCAGCAATCCTGACGGTGGTCCTGCAATCAGTCTTGGGTTGCATCATTGATACATTCATCATTGGAGCTGCCTTGGCTAAAATGGCAACTGCCCGAAAGCGAGCCCAGACCATCCGCTTCAGCTATTATGCTACAGTAGGCTTACGAGATGGCAAACTCTGCCTGATGTGGCGTATAGGCGACTTCCGGCCTAACCATATGGTAGAAGGCACAGTGAGAGCTCAACTCTTACGGTACGTAGAAGACAGAATGGGGAGGATGGCAATGGAATACAAGGACTTAAAACTGGTAAATGACCAGATCATCCTTGCTACCCCAGTGACCATTGTACATGAAATTAACCATGATAGCCCGTTGTATTATCTGGACAGGAAAGCTCTGGCAAAAGACAACTTTGAGATCCTGGTTACGTTTGTTTACACTGGAGATTCAACAGGAACGTCACACCAGTCAAGAAGTTCATATGTGCCCCGAGAAATCCTTTGGGGCCATAGATTCAATGACGTTCTTCAAATGAAGAAGAAGTATTACAAAGTCAATTGCCTCCAATTTGAAGAAACCACCGAGGTATATGCTCCTTTTTGTAGTGCCAAGCATTTAGACAGGAAAGAACAAGAATATACAACTTTTGAGAAGGCATCAGATGGAGAACCCGGAACATCATCCTCACTAGCACGGTTCAGAGGCCGTTCATTTAGTGCAGAAGCTTTAATCATCCATTCTGAAACAACTGAAGAGTCAGCCAAAGTTTGCAGTCAAGTCAGTACTAAGGAGCTGCCTTATGAGAGAGCTCTAGTGGCTTTAAGCCGAATCTCAATGGAATCCCAGATTTAGCAATTAATTATAAAGCTGGCTGTTAAACTTTTTGCAGTTCTCAAATACACAAGTTTCAGTTAAATACTTGGGGACCTGATTCTCAGATAATTAATCGAAAAGGCCGTTTACTGACACGTTATTATGACATCATTCTAATGGATGGGTATGTTTAATTGATAACATTAATGTGACTCATCTCCTTTAAAATTAGCAATTTTGTAAATATAAAATTCTGCATACCAACAATACTTCAGAGAACATTCAGTAGTGCTTAGTTCCAACTCTGGATGAATCTGTCAGTAGAAATTTCATAGAATCATAGAATAATGGAGATGAAAGGAGCTTCTCAGACCATCAAGTCCAACCCTCTGTTCAATGCAGGAATACAAATCGAAGTATATCTGACAGATGCCTGTCCAATTTTCCCTTGAAAGTGTTGGAGTGCTCACCACCTCCCAAGATAATTGGTTCCATTCTCATGACTACCTTTTCAAGACTGACTCTCCACTGAATCCACCTAGGGAGACTAAACTCATTGTTAACTTTCAGTCCTATGCAAGCCTATAATCTAGGGACAGGAATTTGGAATTCTTTTAAGACGAGGTGCAATGCATTGAATTCAAGTACTGCATGATGTGTCACAGAATTAGTCTATGTAGCCCAGTGCTGTCAACACCAGTTGGCAGCACCTGTCCAGGATTTCAGGCAGGATTTTTTTTTGTCTCCTAGCCTACCTACAATACAACAGGGATTGAACTTTGAACCTATTGCACAGGAAGTAGATATTTTCTACTCATTCATACCCTTCCAATAGCAGGTAGACTAAACTCGTATTCTTGAATTTGTTTCATTTTTGTTTTTGTTTTTTGTTTCCCATGCTTGCAAAAATGTTACACGTCTCTAGGGGAGGTCCACATTTTCTTTTTAACCAGAAATTAAGATGTTTATTTTTTCTTTAAAAATTAGTATTTTCCTTTGCATTTTCAAATAAAATACTTTTGAAATTCTTTATAAATTGTGGCAAAAAAAATTTGCACAGAGCTTAGAAAGGTAGCTCACTTTGCCAAAGTCACCATACATGGTACCATATTTGCTTGCACTTTAATTGTGTTAATGAATAATTTAATTGTTTCTCAGTTGATTTGAGAATATAAGAACAATTATACTAAATGGTTTGTGAATTCCCATCTGGTCACTGATCATTCTGTGTATACGGTATTATGTTGTTTTTTTAACTCCATATCATTTGGAAGACAAAATTGTCACTTAAATGTGATACTAAAAACTAAATATATATACATATATATAATCTTCCTTCCCACTGTTTTGAGTCTTCTTTTATTTTGCTTTTTATGCTTAGGTTCTAAAATAGAGAGGCAATTTTGTCTCCTCCCTTTCTCACCCTTTGGACTCTGCCTCAAAATGAACTTTGAACCAAACTATACACGTTGCTAATCAAGAGACCTCACTTTCTGCTCAGACCATTCTCACACTTGTGTTATGTGTGCAAGTGGGAGCAATACAGTAGAGACCACTGATACTATGAGATGGCACTCAATGTTACAGAGAAAGATTTAATCTCTGCTTATGAGTTTTAGAGGCAGCAGCGCCTCTTGATGTAACAGATAGCTTTAGCGCCCAAAATAAAACTTTCCTGTCTCAAGAGCCGTGCGGCGTAGTGGTTAAACTGCTGTACTGCAACCAAAACTGCTGCATGACCTGGGGTTCAATCAAGGTTGGCTCAGCCTTCTGTCCTTCCAAGGTTGGTAAAATGAGTATCCAACTCCCGTGGGGGGGGCGGGGGGGGGGATGTGTAGCCTGCGTAATTAACTTGTAAACCACCCAGAGAGTGCTATGGGGCGGTATATAAGCAGCTCACTTTGTTTCTTTTCTTTTCTTTTTTAAAAGCCTTGAAACCAGCCTTACATGTAGGGTCGCAAACCCCTGAAAGCAGGCAGCTTTTGAATGCCTGAAACTCACTACAGTACTAAGGTTTGTGAGCATTCAACATGAATACTCAAAGAGCCCAGTTGCTTTTTAAAACAAACATGGAGCATTCTTGCACAGCCTTTAGAATATACGAGAATATATGAGCACTTTGATTTACAACCTACACTATTTCAGGTTTGTGAATACAATGCTTTTGTGTATTCCCTGCTGATCCTTACATCATACCGCTCACACTAAAACACAAGTTTCAGTAAAACTCTTTAAGATGTTACTGTACAATGAAATTCCCGGCTTCCTTCGGGTTTTAAGAAAGCCAACACCTTTCAAAAAAAAAGGCTGAAGGTAAGTACAGTTCAGCCTGATTTTAGCCCCACTTCACCCCAAAATAGCCCCCAAAATAAAGCTTTCATTTCTCAAACAGCTTAGGTACTATAGTGATGTTTGAACGTTAAGCAGTGTGTATAACTCTTAAAAATATGTAGTGCGATAATTAATTATGTGCTTTCAAGTTGATTCCATTACCATTAATTGCCCGCTTTTATGTGAAAACAAAGTCTGAAAATAACATGATGCAAGTAAACAAACAGAATAAAATCCTTTTGATAGATACCTGGGCCACAAGAGGCCACCTATGGTAAAATATTTTGGGTCATCACACCGCCACCATGTGGCTATAAAAAAAATACAGGATACAACAGTCAAGGAAGCGTCCAGTACTGTTGATTCATGCTTCTCCATCAGACGTTCAGTGAAGCGCTTCTGATAATCAATTACCAGTAAAAAGAGTGGCTTTCTTTTCACTCTTGAGGAATGTTACTTTTCTGTACTACAGATCTCAGAATAACCCAGATGGCATGGCTTCTTCCAATGTCTAAGCATTTTCAATTTTTTTTTGTAAGTTATTTTTCAGTTTGGGCAGAAATAACTTGAGGCACATGAAACCAAGAAATCAAATGTATAAGTGGATAGGAAAAAGGCTCACTGATTTTCCAGTTTGTTGATTGTAGTTGCCTCAAAACCGTGAAACACCTTGAAGCTCTTTGAGACTCCTTGCTTCCAGACAAGACAATATTTTTTTTCCTTGAGTTTTTGTGCATGTTGCAAATAACATATCTGTACAAAACTAGTGTCTTTTCCCTTTGTGAAGCTGGCTGAAATGACTGATCAAAAAGATGCAAAAAGTCCAACCAAGGCTCCTAATTTTTTTAAAAGTCCATTCTGCAAAGCGGAAGCTTTTATAATTTTGAACAGTTATTCCGTAAAACTCCCATCAGGAGGAATAGAAAACAGGCTGTAGCATCTAGATCTCAAGGAAGGGATTGATATTTCCTTTTGAGCAACCAAAGCTGACTCATTCACCCGCCAAGAACAAAGCTGAAAGTACTTCACTACTCTCTTCAAAGTAACTTTGCTAGTCCTAAGTTTTTCCCCTTGGTCCAAAGAGGACTTGGGTATGAAGGAAGAACGGGCTCCGGTGTTCAGAAGGGATTCTTGAGGGGCCCTGATAGATTTTCACCACCTAGGCCACCAGGCTCTTCAGGCATGTACAGCTGCAGGAAAAGATCTGGAGAAATTATCTTTGAATGGGATTTAAGAATTGTTCATATTTCTTAAGGAATGGGTAGCACATACGTCTGTCTCTAAGTTGTCATTCAGTTTCACCTAACATGAAATTCACCTAAGGTGAATTTGAAAGCCAGGAACACTTTGAATAGGCTCAGGAGCTTTTCACTTGACAAATAGCAACCAGAAGAACCAACGGGCACAATTTGCGAAGCAATCAATTGATTGACTGAGTAATTAATTGACTGACAGATAAATAGATAGATGGACAAAATAGCACTTCGTTCTCTCTGGTCTCTAGAACATGCTATTGGTAGGATAAGGGTTCTACCATTTGTTTGCTAGGTTATAACAAACTGCACTAAAACAGCAGATTGGTTGGATCCAGTTGTCGTTGTGTGCAACTGGGCTGTTAAAACTGGATTTCCTCATCCGTCTTCCTGCCAGCACCTCCTCCGGCCTGTTCACATTGTGATCCAGATATCAGGATACTTTGATGAAAGGGGTCATCTGAGATGCAGTAGGGCCGAGGAGATCCCCAAAGCTCAGACAGAGTGGAGACCTTCCTTCCAGAGAAGGCAGAGCCTGGATTCAGCTTCGGATGCATTTTGTCTTGTATAACAGGCGAACGATGTTAATACTAGGTCTACATCATGGCAACAGTTACTGACCTCTGACATTAAACGAGTTGCAACTGTGCAGTGTTATTAAATCTGAAAGGCAGAAACTGATTTTAAAAACTAGCTTAAACCAGTTCCTTGCAGTTGTCCACTGTCAATACCTAGCACATTAAACTTAGCTAAACAAATGACGCTATGAATATCAGGTCTTGAAGTCTGATAGTATATACTGTTCTTAAGGGGGGGAAGAGAGAGGAGGGGAAGCTTGGAAGTTGGGTGGTGTTGTTTGGCAAGGCTAAGAATATACACAAGTTAATTCTGGTTGCACTCTGCATGGAACATCCCAAAGATAGCAGGAGTCTATTTGTGGTATAACACAGTTACACCAGGGGAATATCCATTATCAGAAACCAAATGCTGCCAGTCAGCTTACATTTGCCCATTGTGACAAAAAGAAAGAGGTTTTAAGATGTCTAAGCAATTCTTTTAGCAAAGCCACACAATAATTTTTACAAGGTTTTCCCCTCACCTCCCACTCAATAACATGCCTACTTTGACCCATAGGCAATATTGGTGTTGACCATGCTTTCCCAAATGTCCACGGTAGTGTCATTTTTCATATCTTAACACAGAGCTAAAGGTATGTAAACTTTGCAAACTCATTGAACTGTGAGGAGCAAGGAATATGGTATGACCACCTGCTTACTTATGTTTAGTAGATGTCTAGAAGAGAAGGGCTACTTCAAAATCCAGACTAGACTACTAGGACACATGTAGATAGCTCAGTGGTTTAGGTATAGTTGGGAGCTCAGTTCCTCCCTGTGCTTCCTTGATAGGGGCTGGACTCAATGAGCTATAGGGTCCCTTCCAATTCTGCAGTTCTAGGATCATAGAATCATAGAATCACGGAGTTGGAAGAGACCACAGGGGCCATGGAGTCCAACCCCCTGCCATGCAGGAACTCCATCAAATCCCCCCCCCGACAGATGGCCATCCAGCCTCTGCTTAAAAACCTCCAAAGAAGGAGACTCCACCACACTCCGAGGCAGGATATTCCACTGCCGACCAGCTCAGACTGTCAGGAAGTTCTTCCTGAGATACAGTTGGAATCTCTTTTCCTGTAGTTTGAAACCATTGCTCTTTGTCCTAGTGTAAGGAACCATAGAAAGCAAAACAGTCCCTTCCTTGACATGACATCCCTTCAAAATCTTCAGATGTTTAAACATGGCTACCATGTCCCCTCT